TATTGAAGTATCGCTATCATTAGTGCAAGGATGGGTCCTCGGTAGTATAGTGGTGAGTATCCGCGTCTGTCACATGCGAGACCCGGGTACAATTCCCGGCCGGGGAGAATTTTTGCCTTTTCTACAGGATGGTTTCATCAACTGAATTCACTACTCACAACATTTTGCCATAATCTCATCATCCTAGAAGTCTGCTGGTTACCCCATGCCCTCCATATTTCTAAAGCCTTCACCGTGAATTGGGCTTGAAAGTTTGAATGGATGAAAGAAGAAGACAGCACAACACTCAAACACATCACAAATAATTTCATCCCGTTTGTCATGCATGAAGAAAACACACCCGAAAATGAAAATTAAATGGTCCCATACTTAGGCCCGCAGAATCTATTTCTCAGCTGGATTGCTATGTGGCTGGACCTGATCAAGTGATGGCACTATTGAGACTGAGTGAGAGCAAGTAATGAAAGCGGTATTGTTATAGTTGTCTATCTATTGGTTCATTCTGTCCCATGATGACTGGCTAACGAGAGATAGTTTCGTTCGAAGTTGGCCTTCTACAGTAGTGGCTAAAATATGAGCTGTTTGCTGAGTTGGTGAGGTCAGGCACCCCCAGGAGTTATCTTCATCATCACTGGATGCTTCAGTTTCCTCAGATGAGATTGAAAAATTGTTTTTCTTATATATAAACCACTCTATGGGCTGCTACGCATTGAAAGGGTCCGATAATATCGAATGGAGGTTGAATGAATGGCGCGAACCGGTTGGGTTTTATCAGTGTCGAGAGGTTCACACATAGGAAATGCGGAGTTCATTCAAAGAATATCTGAAGGGTGACATAGCTGAGTCGAGTAGAGACTCTTCAAAAGAACTTTCCCCGGATACCCTCGGACATAACATTCACATTAGTGAAAAAAAGGCAAAAAGTTCACAAAACGATTAATCAAACGGCAACTTAGAAAGCGCTTTACATGAGCAGTTCCAGCGTTCCCCTGGGGCTCCCTGGGACACTTGGAACTCCGAAAAAGCCACGAATAGAAAAGCAAGGAGAAGCCAAGCAGGGATACCTTGCAACTGACACATGCGAGCCGTTTTTCTTGTGTTCCGTCGATCCACGCATCAATTTGTCTCTCAGTTCCAATAGATCGATGAAAGATCGACGTTTCGATGGTGTTGATTTGATTTTGTGAGGAGTGGCGGTCAGATCCAACTGAAACGACTTCTTGAGACCGAGTAAAAAGAAGAAATAGCAGAGGAAGTGTACATTTTACTTTTACAAGGCCGAGTAAAAGTTGGAAAAAATCTTCTGGCCGTTCGCGTTCTATTATAAACTCTGTTTTGTACGTGTATAGCATATACGGATCCTACTTTGTGTATTTGACTCTATTATAGTCTAACTGTCTAATCACACCTGATAGGCAAATCTTCATGGTTCGAAATTGGCCACCACGCTGCTGGAGCCCATCAAAACTTGAATTGAGGGACAGCCTTCAAATCACTACTAAGCGGTTCTAGGTACCCCGTCTACAGCTCTTCAAGTTAAACAGGAGTGCGAGGATGAGCTTCGACTGGTAGTCGACTGTGATATCGTGAAATCTCTAGATAGTTATGCGTTACAAGGAAGAAGTGTGCTTTTACAGTAATTTCAAAGAGATTGCGAAAGATTCCAGGAAAAATATGGATTTCTGTAAAAAATTTTTTGCACACATATCCAAAACACTTTTCTCCAACTTCATTGCATAGAATTTCAAATATCTCCCAGAAGGTAAAGTAGTAGTAGTGAAAGTAACAGCGAAAATGCTTCAGAAGGAAGCCATCCATAAGTGGGATCGTACCTGTTTCAAGGCATCATTCAGATCGCCGCATTTGACACGCAGTTCGGAAAAGTGTAGAATGGTATTCTTGACGATTTCATGGATTTCAGCTACCCAGAACTTCATCGACAACCCCAATGCCCGTCGACATTCGTTGATGAACAACTGAGATTGGGCAACAGCCTGCAGAAAAGGACGACATAGCTGATTTTCTAATGCACCAGTAACTCGAAATTCAATTTTCTGCAAACAAAATTGGGTTCGATGACATTTTCGTTTGATTACGTCTTTAGGCCTCAGTACATGCGAAAGTTGTAAAATATGATTTTTGATGGTAATTTGCAATTCCTCAAAAAAACAGCTGAACAAGTAGCAGTACAGTGAACTCTAATAGAGGAGAACTCCAATTGCTTAGATTTAGAAAGCGGAAATCAGAGGGACACCTAAATATAACAGAAAGAGAGGGCAAGAAATGTGTAAGAAAATTAATAATTAAATAAAAATTATAGTAACGGTCAGCTATGCAAAGTGGTTAAGTACCTTGTCAAGGTGATGATTGTTCCACAGCTGTAGGTAATCGCCTTTGTGATCGATGTTTGGTGACCAATCCATAATTGCACACCAATCTTTCATTAACAATGGTTCGACCTTCAAAAGGAAAAGCATTAATTATAGCTGTAGTCATAATTGCTACAGAATTTCGAATACACCGTGCATTTGACTTTCACCTAGAAATGAACCTCTGGATCATTGAAACGGAGAGAGGCATTTAGCCAAAAACCCGCTCAGCCCTTACTTATAGATCTCTTTATATATTTGTTTTGATTATTTACCATTTTACTTGATTACTTGCTCTCGCCTTTATTTTTCGATTTTAGAAATTAGAATTAATAGAGAAACAGTGAACAAACAAGCTGTAGTCTGAATATGAGCCTTTGAGGATAGAATAGTCTCAAATACTATTTTGCATCAGATCGAATTCATGGGAATCCCACAAAAATTGATCAGCGTTACGACCCAAAAAACGGATTTGGTTTCCATTCTGAATGACTCTTTTTTCTCTCAAAAAAAATAACTGCCTAGGTCCCCC